TCTGCCACCCCGTTTTCTCGGTGCATTGGAAATTTGTGAGCACTACAAACAACTACAAACGATTTTAGACAGGAATCAGAGCTCATTCTGACTATAGCTTTCAATCAGTTCCTACTTGGGCTCCAAGAATCGATTGCATGCTCGTTTGATTCCCGATTGCGAAAATTCCACAACTACAATCAACTACAAACGATTACGGATAAGAATCCCACGTCATTTCAAATGCAACTATGAAATAGTTCCTAACTGATTAAAAAAAATCGATTGAACGTTTATTACGATACCGATCGTGAAATTTCCAGAACTACAATCAACTACAAACGATTGCAGATGAGAAGCAAATGTCACTCCAGCTGTAACTATGAAATAGTTCCTAACTGTATTTCAAAAACGGATTGAACGCTCATTTCGGTTCGGGTTGGAAAAATTCCAAAACTACAATCAAGTATGGACCTTGATTTATAAGTTTCTTAATTTTTTTCGATTTTTTTCACTGTTAGAAACAACTACAAACCAATCCTTCTACATATCTCAATTGTCTACCACCCTTTGTTCTCGGTGTATTGAAAATCTGTATTGAAAATCTACTACAAACAACTACAAACCATTTTAGACAGGAATCCGAGCTCATTTTGGCTATATCTGTCAACAATTTCCTACTTGGGCTCCAAAAATCGATTGGATGCTCGTTTGAGTTTGAATTGGAAAAATTCGAAAACTACAATTAAGTATGAACGTTGCTTCATAAAGATCTTCTTTTCTTATTGATTTTTTTCACTGTTAGAAATACCTACAAACGAATTCTTCTACATATCTCAACTCTACACCACCCTTTCTTCTCGGTGCATTGAAAATCTGTCAGTACTACAAACGACTACAAACCATTTTAGACAGGAATCCGAGCTCATTTTGGCTATAGCTGTCAGCAAGTTCCTACTTGGGCTCCAAAAATCGATTGGATGCTCGTTTGAGTTTGGATTGGAAAAATTCCAAAACTACAATTGAGTATGAACGTTGGTTCATAAAGATCTTCTTTCCTTTTTCATTTTTTTCACCACCCTTTTTTCTCGGTGCATTGAAAATCTGGGAGTACTACAAACAACTACAACCCATTTTAGACAGGAATCCGAGCTCATTTTGGCTATAGCTGTTAACAATTTCCTACTTGCGCTCCTAAAATCGATCAGATGCTCATTTGAGTTCGGATTGGGAAAATTCCAAAACTACAATCAAGTATGAACGTTGGTTTATAAGGTTCTTCATTATTTTCACTGTTAGAAACAAATACAAACAAATCCTTCTACATATATCAACTGTCTGCCACCCCGTTTTCTCGGTGCATTGGGAATTTGTGAGCACTACAAACAACTACAACGATTTTAGACAGGAATCGGAGCTCATTCTGGCTATAGCTTTCAATCAGTTCCTACTTGGTCTCCAAAAATCGATTGGACACTCATTTGATTTCCGATTGCGAAAATTCCAAAACTACAATCAACTACAAACGATTGCAGATAAGAATCCCACGTCATTTCAAATACAACTATGAAATAGTTCCAAACTGTTAAAAAAAATCGATTGAACGTTTATTATGATTCCGATCGTGAAATTTCCACAACTACAATCAACTACAAACGATTGCAGACGAGAATCCAATGTCACTCCAGCTTTAACTATGGAATAGTTCCTAACTGTATTTCAAAAACGAATTGGACGCTCAATTTCAAACTATAAACAAGAAAAACGTTACTACTGTCACGAGTAGCTCAAAATCTATCAATTATGAAATTTTGGTTCAAATCCAACCAAGTGGGGTGCCCACTTCACGGAGCTCATTTCGACATGTTTTTTCTCAAAAACTAAACATGCTAGAAAGATTTTTGAAAACAAATTTAAAATCAGC